ACTCCGCATTTAAAATTAGAATTAAAGAAATCATCTTTTCGATTGTAAATATCTTTGCCTATTTTTGAGTTGTTTTTTTTTCCTCATTATTGCTGGTATATAGACTTTGTTGTATTATGTTTTATTATCTACGAATATTTTCGTGATTTCTTTGCAAAATTACCTATCTAATGCTTTTATTTTCATATTTTATTGTTTTTTATTACTGTGTTTTGTCAAACGTTTTGTTATTGTTTTTAATATTTTAATATTGTATTACTACATGTAATATTACGTATTTATATTGTATTATACTCGATACTAAAAAGCATTGTAAAGGGCCTCATGATAAGATCCTCATGATATTCTCGAAGTCCTGCTGCTAAATTTGTTATTAATATTATCTGTAAGCAAAATAAAAAAAAAAAAAAAAAAAGTCCTAACAGATTAAAAATGTCTTAATAAACACAAGACGTTTTGAACACGTGTTTACAGGGATCAATACTTTAGACTGCTTTTTTTGAAAAAGGGCTGTGCATGATCTATGCAAAACTTAAACGTAATTTACTGTTCTGTTATTTATACATTGGAAAAGATTTGACTTTTTATAACGCTAATCAACAACTTTATCAATATATTTTCATTTTAAATTAAAAAATTATTTTATATTTTTTTCAACAACTTAAATTATTAATTTAAATAATTAACTAAATTAGATAATTTCAACAATTTAAATAATTAATTTAATTTGAATATAACTCTAAATATAAATTTAAATAAAACATCATTTTTACAACAATCATTCGTACAATTGGATGGACCAAACGAAAAGTTTTTTGTCAAGTATTAATTTAATTAGTTTTAAGCTTACTCGTTTTTTTATCACTTGTAGTAAGTGATGTGATCAGATGAAAAGTTGAATCTTTTGCGAAGTTTTGCGCGCAGTTTTTCAATCTGGTTCCTAACTAACTTTTAACTTTACGAGTTTTTTCTTTATAAAAATACATCTTTACAATAGTTTTATAGTGCAGTATAGTTTAAATATTTAAAAATATTTATAGTGCAATATACATAGTTTAAATATTTAAAACAAACTTTAACTCTTGCTTATTTAACGGAATCTGAAAACAAATTTTTTGGCTCTTTAAAATATGCCTCCTATACAATTTCATGGAGATATGCCAGTGGCGAATTAAGACTTCTTGGGGCCCGGGGATATTTTTGTTTTTAGAGGCCTTTTCATGGGCCAGAGCCTAAAAATAACTAAAAAAAAAAATAGTTCCTTTAAAATTTTTGGGAGCCCCTAAATGTGTGGCGCCCGGGGCTAAAGCCCTCTAGCCCCCCTTGATCTGGCACTGAGATATGCCATGACTAGTTGCAAAACGATTTCATTCTGCTTTTATGCTTAAACCAATTAAATACATGCATGCTATGCTAAAATCAATTAAAGGCACAGATTTTTAAATATTTTTAAATTTGTGCAATCATTTTAAAAAATTCCCAATTTTCTGAGAAATTTTAATTCATAAAATTTATAATAATACTTTGTTTTTCATGCACCATCAATTATCATCAACATCATGTATCATATCATCAGACATAAGTTGATACAACCTGTGCGTTATAAACTGCTTAATTTCTTCATATTTGCAACTACATA